AAATGGAGGTTCGCAGAGAGCCTGCACCATTAGCTGTAATTGCTCCTCGGCTGTGTTGCAAATCCAAGGTTTGTGGCTGCTCCAGGTCTCAAGTAATTAGGTTCAAATCTGATGCAAGAGGCTTGAGATGGGAAGATGGGAAGTCTTTAATAGTGAACAGAGCTCCCCCGCAGTGCAGTTGCCTCTGTAGGTATGTGATACAGGGCAGAAGGCTTGGGTTGCAGGCACAAGTCATAAAATCCAGCATCCCCACTCATTCACTGTGTGGGGGAGGGCAAGTCACCTCAGTCGACAGATCTGTGTGTCTTCATCTGTGTGACCCAGGCAGAAAGGCTGCAGCAGAGGGTGCCTCCCCTCTTCCATCTCCTCGATTAGGCCATGCCGATTAAGCATTCTCTAAGCATCTGGCCCACAGGTGCAGCGGGAGCAAGCTTAAGGGCATCTTTATGGGGTTTATATAGCAGCTCACTCCACATTAGAACCCAGCATAAAGCTATGAGTAATTAGCCCAGGGATGATATTAGGCAGAAATCCAAAGAAATGGTAGAGAAGTAAGAATTTTCGTAACAGTTTAAATAAATCCCCTCAGAACCATTCCTTATGCAAATAATGTTCCCAGCATAAACTGCTGTCCTGGCATTACTGATGTGTCAGCTCTTTCGCACAGTTGAAACTGGCCTCAGGGATCTTTATTTGGCTGGATTTTTAAACTAGCTGGATTGTTTTTTTTTTGTTAAATATGAGACCCACAGTTCTCCCCTTGGTGTCTGCCACAGTTTTCCACAGATGCTCAGTTGGCTATGTGCATACATACATTCCCTTCTTGAACCTGAGCACACAGGCACCTGGCCTGCTCCCTCCCTGGTTTTGGTCCCAGCAGGTCAGATCTTTCCTTAGCATTCTCTTTCACTGCAGTACAGTGCTTCCTGTGACCCGCCCTCTGCTGATAGAAACGGGGGTTGCTCCGAGGTCTTTACTGCTACCAACAGTTGCCAAGGACATCCATGTGCATGCATCTTTGCGTGCATATACAATTGTGTCTGTAGCATAAGGTTCCCAGAAATGGAACTGAAAGTCCAAAACATTGTTTTTGTTTTGTTGTTGTTACTTGAGGCAGGGTCTCACTATGTAACCCAGCCTGCACCTGAACTCATAGTCCTTCTGCCCTAAGTATCAGTGATTTGAAAGAATTAGACTTTTTCTGGTTTTCAAGATATAGTCTTTTATAGCCCCGATCTGGCCTGAAACATCTGTGTGGCCAATGATAACCCTGATCCTCCCAAGTACTAGGTTTTCAGGTGTATGCCACCATACTTGGCTTAAGGACCGAAACTTTTAAAAATGTGTATATATATATATATATATATATATATATATATATATATATATATATATATATATACATACACACATATATATAGGTTGTTTTTCTGTTGCTGTGACACAATGCTATGACCAAGGCAACTTATGGAAGAGTTATGTGGGCTTATGGTTCTGGAGAGTTAGCATCTGTAATGGTGGAACAGAGGCGGTAGGCAGTCATGGCAGCTAGAGCAGGAGGCTGAAAGCTCACATCCTGAACTCTTAAGTATGAAATACGAGCCTCTAAATTTTCAAACCTGCTTCCAGTGACACACGCCTTCCAATAAGACTATACCTCCTAAACTAATGCAGACCGTGCCGCCAACTGGGGATCCTGAGGTTCGAATGCTGAGACCATGGGGAACATTTCTTACTCATATCAGTACGGTGTGCTTGGGTGTTTTGCCTGTATGTATGCGTGTGCACCTTGTACGTGCCAGATGCACACTGAGGCCAGAGGAGAGCATGCGATCCCCTGGAACTAGAATGACACATGGCTGTGAACTACCATGTGAGTGCTGGGAACTGAACCCAGGCCTCGACAAGCAGCAACTGCCTGTATCCATTGAACACCTTCCTGCCCCAGAGCTATCCTTTTAAAGTCATTAATACTGTTATCACATACCACACGCCAAGGTCTCCGGTTCTACCACGCACCACCGTGCCCGAATTCCCAGTGAACACACCTGCAACCTCCCAGTTGTGGATATTGACAAGCTTGATGATCTTTTCTGATACAAACAAACAAAAATAATGTTAACTGTTCTTTTAATTCAAATTTTCTTCCTCTGGCTAGCCCGGACCATTCTTCTCCACCTGCCTTTTTAAAAACAAAAGAAGCAGAATTGAGGCTTCCATCCACCTTCCCCGTCCACTAGGGTGGCCATTCTTAACGTGGGCCCCTGGACCGACAGTGTCAGTGTCGCCTGACATCACATTGGAAATGGAGACTCTTGGCCCAGCCAGACCCTCTGAAGGAGGCGCTCTGGAGTTAGAACCCTGCGGCTCTCTGTGCGATCCCTGCTCCTGGAGCTCCTGAGTTAGGAGGTTAGCCTCTGGAGCCAGTTTCCACACAGTGGCCACACCTTGCTGTTCACTGCACCAGCACATTCTTGTAGTGATAGCTGAAGTAGCAAACCTATCGCCGATTATACCACCGCATACACGAGGAGCAAGGCGTTCCCACCCCTGAGCCCAACCCCAGCCCTTTGCTGTGAGATTGACCTCCAGGAAGGTTCTCCAGTTCCCTCTTCGAAGAGGAACCTTACCACAAAGCAACTGTGCATATTTAAAGTTTGATTTTGAAGCTGGGTGTGGCGGCTCATATCTGTAATAGTCCCACTTGGGAGACTGAGGCAGCAGGATTGTCACAGGTTAGAGACCGCTTGGGCTACCAAGTGAATTCTAGGCCAACATGGGCTAGGAAGGAAGGAGTGGGAAGAGAACAGGAAAGGGAAAGCTGGTTGTTCTCTTTAGGCATTGGATGGATCTGCAGGGAGCTGCTGGTTACAGTGACCTGGAACTGCCCCCCCTCCCTCGAGAAAACCTTGCATTAAGGAAATGTGGGAAGTTGCTTTACTTCAGCTGGGTCTAGAAGACTGAGCAGCGCTCCGTATCTGTGCAGGCGCCTTACTGTAGGTAGAAAGGGAAGGAAATCTGGAAAGAGATGGCCCGAGACAGGAGCCACCTCAAAAAATTCTTTCTCATGTAGTTCAGAGCAAGTAACTTTGTTGTTGTTTGTTGTGTGGGAGAAAGCCCTGCTGTGTGGTCCAGACTATCCTGGAAATCACTAGATAGTCCAGGCTGTTCTCTATTCCAAGCAATCCTGTCTCAACACTCAAACACACACATAAACACACACCTGGTGTGCTGAGTTACAGAGGCGTACCACCAGACCAGCTTTGTTTTATTTTTTCTGTTTTGAGTCAAGGTCTTGCTAGAATACCCCAGCTGGCCTACAAACTTGCCTCAGCTTCCCAAAATGCTAAGATGACAGGAGTGAGCCATGATGCCCAGACAAAATCCTTTTGTAGAGAAATAGTTCTTAGAGCTGATGGTACACATGGACCACCCAGGGAACCTTCTGAAGAGCATCGATGCTCATTAGGTCCCACCGCAGATATTCTGTAACGGGCTAGTATGCACGAGACCCTCTCTCAGGGGAAAAAGATGAAAACAGTAGATGTGTCTTAGTTTGGTTCCTATTGCTGTGACTAAACACCATGACCAAAGGCAGCTTCTGAGAGGGTTTATTTCATCTTATAACTGCTAGATCACAGTCCGCCACTGAGAGAAATCAAGGCAGTGACTCAGACAGGAACCTGGAAGCAGGAACTGAAGCAGAGACCATGAAGGAATGCTACTTATTGGCTTTCTCTTCATGGATCACTCAACTTGCTTTTTATGCAACCCAAGGCCACCTGCCCAGGGGTAGCACCAGCCATAGTGGGCTGGGCTCTCCCACATCAATCATTAGTACAAACAAACAAACAAACAAACAAACAAACCTCCTCAGCCTTGCCTAAAGTCCAGTCTGTGGAGGCATCATCTAGTTAAGATTCCCTCTTCCCAAATGACTCCAGTTTGTATCAAACCATCACAGACAGATAGAAGGAGTTGTTCTAGGCTTTAAAAAGCATTGCCCCACATGGCTTGGCAATTCCGGAAGCTACTGTTAGACCAACTAAGGGTATCAAACCTCTATGCAGGTCAGCCATTCCCCCTTCCCTCCATAAAGCCACACTTTTCCACGCTGGCGTGTGTGGTGTGTACTTCTGCTGGCCTCCAATAGTTTCTCTGCTAGGTTTTACTCTTAAATCGGCTCCCTGACGTCTGGGCTTGCAATTAGAAGAATGTGCTGAACGTCTGTACCTGTCCACCAGCCCTTCTCTCTTTCGGCAGAGCTGTAGAAGCATAGCTTGGCGCTCAGAGCTTCCCAGAGGACAGCGGCTGAGATCATTTCTCCTGGGCAGACCAGGCCCAAACACCCTCTCCATTCACACGGCCCCTCTGCGTGTTCCTGAATGAGTTGTCCTCCCTTGCCACCCTATCCCCATGTCACCAGGAACGCTTGACTGAGCCCTGCAGAGCATCCCAGGAGCCCTTCTGGACTGGAGTTCGTTTTCTTTCTCTCCCCAGAGTTGACAAGAAGCTCCAGTAAAAAGCATCCTCTGGGTTCTTAACACCATGAAGCATTGTACACATGAGTATAACACCCCAATTTGTAGCTAAGAAGCTAATGAATCCCCGAAGGGATTAACTCTTGCTTGTATGTGCATTGTATGTGTATTGCTTGCATGTGTATGTGCATTGACATAGCTGCTTATGCTCACCCTGAAGATCTATTTGGATGCCCATAAGCATCTACACCAACAAATCACAGCCCACCTAAAGGAGCATTACAGATCGATTTGATTCACAAACACTACAAATGCCCGGTTGTCTCTAATCCAAGGGAGCATCTCTCACACAGCTAAAAGGCAATGTCTGTCTGTCTCTACCTGCTCTCTCTCAACATACATGCAGGCATGCCTCAGTCTTCCAGTGCACTGGCACCCCGTCAGGAACCCTCCAGCTCGCATTTTCCTCAGTATCTGTGGCATCTGAAATGATTGGATGACCTCACCCTTTGCCCGCAGGCTGCACGTGGGAATTTGGAGCCATGGTGAACTACATCAAGAAGACATATCCCCAGACCCAGCTGGTCGTCGTGGGCTTCAGCCTGGGTGGTAACATCGTGTGCAAATACTTGGGGGAGACGCAGGCGAACCAGGAAAAGGTCCTGTGCTGTGTCAGTGTGTGCCAGGGGTACAGTGCGCTGAGGTGAGTTATCTGTATCTCTCTCTCTCTCTCTCACACACACACACACACACACACACACTCATTTCTTCCATTGGATTCTTCAGTTGACAGTACTGTTTATAGAGCTAAGCCAAGACACCAGACCAGGTGCAGGGAGCACCTTGTAGACAGAACAGAAGGTTCCAGTTCCTAGCCTCAACTGGATTTACTTCCATGTCGTTCACCAGAGTCATCTTGGCAGGCCTGGTAAGCCTGAGATACCTAATAGTATTTTAGGATCAGATCTGTAATTGGATCACCAAAGCCATTGTTAGAGCTGCTGCCTCCCTAGGGAGTCTCCGATTATGTCTGAGTTTCCAGAATAGGAGCTAACCATTAACTCCTAACCACCCGTTAACAAGACAACACAGGAAACAGCAGTGCTGGCCCCGGGGCCTTGTGACCTCCCCACATCCCTCCAGCCAGCAGGAGCATCGAGTCACCGATGGTGTCTGAAGGGACTTGGGAAGTTCTCTAAGCAGGTGTCTTCATCTGAAGGATTCATCTCTCAGGCATGCCACCATCCTCCCAGAGAAGCTGGCCTATAGGGAGCAAATGTGTACCTCAGCCTTTAGCCTCCTGCCGGCAGCCAGTCTACAGGATGAGTTCACGTGTGTGAAGAACTCTGAACAGTGCCCGGCTACAGAATGTCAGCAGCAGCAGCAGCATTGCTGGTCGCTAGAAGATGAAGAGGGTGCCTTAGATCAGGGGATCCCAAAGATCCCCCGTCTGATGAACTATGAGCTGTCTTGATTCACTGAGAATCACTGGGGTGGCTGGCAAGGTGGCTCAGTGGGTAAAGGCGTTTTCTGAGGAAGTCTGATGACCCGAGTTTGACCACCAAAACCCACATAAACTAGAGCTAGCCAAAACCAACCCTACAGAGTTGTCCTCTGACCTCCACGTGTGTGCCATGGCACATGCACCAACACGCGTCATCACGCACACACGATAATACGATTTAAAATGAAAGAATCACTTGAGGGGATCATGTTAAGAAAAGAAGCTCAGCCCCTGGCAGACCCCCACATCTGGAAATTCTCGTTTGGTGAGGCCCAGGAATCTGCCCTCGGGACCCATTTCATAGATGATTCCATGTTAAAAGGCAGCCATACTCCCTTCTCTTGGCTCAATGAGAAGTATCCAGCTCCCAGTTCATGGTCACATAGAACCAGAGCTAGCCAGAATCTGTTCTGTTCTGCTGCTTGGATAAAAAAAAAAAGCTAATCAGGGGTCACCCTTCCATCAGATCTGAGGGGGCAGGGCCTGGAGATGTGAGGTCCTGCCTGCTTTCACCCAACAGCTGGTCAGCATCTTTGGTGTTAGAAACCACTAGATTCCCCTCCTAACTTCAGTGACGGAAACTTGCTGTGAGTGCTAGCCAGGAGCAGGTTTTATAAATAGGAAGCTTGTGACAAATTTGTCCTCTCCTCCCCTCCTTCCTTTCCTTTCCTCCCTCTAGTTCGCTCAGTGCCCAATCTTAGAATAACAAGTTTTCTTGCATTTTGCAGCAACAGCGCCATCTGCTGTTGGCAGATGATCAGCGCAGTTAGCAAAGCAAAGGGTTCAAATAAGACAGAAAAGACTTGACCACAGCAGAAACCTAGGATCTGTGAGGTGCTTTTCTGCCGCCCCTCCCCCGAGACCTCTCAGGGTTGCATACACACAATTGCCCTGTTGTCACATGAGCCTCATACAACGAGGAGGAAAAAGGTAGGCTGATTCTCTAAAGCACGATTGGCCTCTGGCTGAAGCCTGCAGCCCTCCACATGGAATCCTGTGGCAGCTTAGAGAAGTGCCACTGACTCTGAGGGCAAGTAGTAACAGGAGTCAAAGGTCAAGAGAGGAGGAACCAAGTCCAGCAGCAACAGGTTGTGGCTGTGTGGTTGAGAAGAAAGGCGTTCGGCAAGCGTTCATATTGTCCCACCTGGGATGGCTTGGCTAGGGTTTCTGTGCCTGCAGTGTGTAGGGAGACCCCACTCATGACAGTGGCTTCTGACCTCTGATGATGTGTTATTCTCTTTGAAGCTTCAACTTTGTGAACACATCACCCACACCTTTATGCTCCCCGAGTGTTACAGGTTTGTTTTTGTTTTGTTAATCAGTTGGAACAGATTCTCATCACGCTACCAGCAACCAACTGTGCTTTCCTGGCCCTGGAGGCTTCCTATAGGGTCCTCTTCATGGGGCTTTGTGGCTTTCCCCCAAATATCTGAATGCTACACATCAAAACTGTTATCCAACACAGGTGCCAAAGCCAGCATGCACTCCCCACACAGCACCTCGTGGCATCATGGGAATCTCACTTGCTTGTGGTTCTTCCAGGGCCCAGGAGACCTTCATGCAGTGGGACCAGTGCCGCCGATTCTACAATTTCCTCATGGCTGACAACATGAAGAAGATCATCCTGTCTCACAGGTAGAGCCTCTTCCCCTCTGACACCTTGGTGGCTCCCACCAGGACAAGACAAGGAACCTCTTCACATACCACTCTTCACCTGTCCTGAGGTGGCCTGTCGTCGTAGGTCCTTCTCTGAAGGCCTCAGGACTGGGTCTCGGCAGGAGGGTCAGAGCAGAGCATTAGTGCCTGCCCGCTCAAGGCTCAGGCCCTCCAAGCAGTAAGGAGGGAGCAGGAGTCTGCCAGGGATCTCGGTGATGGCTTTGTTATAACTGTCCCCATGCTGCCTTCTCTCCCTCCTCCCTGGCACTTCCTTTCCCCTCCAGCTAGACTGGAGCATGTGGAGACCTTCTACTCCCTTTGCCTCTCTGCCCCTCCATCCTCCACAACATCTGCTCGCTAGGCGCAGCCCCTTCCTTAAGGCCCGTGTCAGGTCTCCATTCTCCCACTAGGCTGCTTTTCTGAGGCTTCCCCTGGGTCTGTCCTGTCCCTAAAGTGTGCTGAGCATGATTTCATTTCTCCTCGAGCCTGGCACCTGAGAGACATGCAAGACACAGACTTTGGGAGGGGCTTTTGGCATCACTAAGAAAAGGGCATTCTAAGTGATCAGTTTCTCAGTCCTTTTGCTTGGTTGGTTGGTTGGGGTTGGGGGCGGGTTAGATGTGGCCTCACTATGTTGACTAACTTGTCCCACACTCTAGAGCTCAACCAACCCTCCTGTTGCAGCCTCCTGCATACTTGGCCCACAGGCGTACAGCCCCGTACCCAACTCTTAATCCCCTCCCTCCACCCTAGTACTTAAAAAAACATTGTCTGGCCAGGCATAGCCACACACCCCAGGCCCAGCTGAGCTTGCTGTGAGTGGGCTCCCATGATACCTGAGCAGCTCACAGCTGCTCAAACTACAAAGTTGCCAGGCATGCCCTCAGGCCCTTGTGTCAGATGAGCTGAGAAAAGAGAGATTCCTGTCCTCTGTGATGTGGCAAAGCCAACAATGCCACTCAAGTCCCATGGTCTGAATGTCAGTCACATGCTAGACACCGAGCTGGGTTCGGTCCAGCTGACATTTTGGTGGGTCTGGTAATTTACTAAGGCTCTCTAGCTAAATGGGGTGAAATTAGATTGCTGATGCCAAATTTAAGTCCTCATGTCTGCACCTCACGACAGCAAGTCGTCCTAGGGAAGATTGTGTTGTTGGAAAGGGTGAGTGTTGCTGCAGAGTCCTGAAGATTCATTATGCAATTGCTAACAAATCGGGATGGCATGTTAGCGTAGTTACCATGGAAAGGCAACTAACAGGAATCTCGGGGAAACTTTAAGTTATGAATTTCATCCTCTGTCACCTTATTTGGGAAAAAGTTAGTCCTAAAGGAGGCTGTTGATCTGCTTTTAGAGAGGTTATAAATGGATACCAGAACACTGCATTTCTGCTTCCTACTGTCGAGCCAAACCTCAAACTCTGTCCTCTCCCTGCTGCGTGACTGAGAGCACCGGGTTGGAAAGGAAGTCCACCCTGCCTGTTGTCATCCCTACCTTCATCATCATACCCTAAATGGACATTCCCCTTCGTGGAAACGACCACTCTATGGAACCCACCCCTCTCTCCGCAGATGGCACAGGTTCAGACAGCAGCAGATGGAGGTCTTGTCTGTGCCGTCCATGTGCAAGTCTATTTCTTGAGAGCTTGTGCAGCTGCCACAGAGACACACGTGGAGCAGAAAGGGGTCACTGGCCACGGCAGGCCGATCGCTCTCATGTCTGCCAGCTCGTTTCTGACTCATTCCCTAAACTGTATAGTCTTAGTCTAACTGCTGCTTTCATTCCATTCACAATGCCTGAGGTATCACAGCTAATTCAGAGGTGATTAAACACACCGGAGATAGCATAGTTCTGTGCACATCCAGGTGCGGAGGCATGTGTTCTTGTTCAAGCTACTCAACAAGCTGAGGCGGGAAGATTGCTTGAGCCCAGGAGTTTGAGAACTGCCTGGGTAACACAGAGTCCGCATCCCCTCCCACCACCACCCTCCAAATCTATCGATCCTAGGGTATCTGTGCATTTAGATCTCTGAGGAATATCCTAAAACTGCTTGTCTGTGGATACATAGGGTGACAGTGTATGGCTTTTCAGCTAACGCTGTGGAGAGCTGATGACTTATCCAAATGCTGAAGGGATTCCTGGCTGGCTTCCTTATTAAGCAACACAAACACAAACATCGTGCAAGGGGAATAACGACCTGCCAACGGCTGCCAGCATCAACATCAGTGTAGACCTGAATTGCTCTTTGGCCCACTGCCCATCACTCCTCCAAAAGGCTCTTCCTGGGCTTCCTCCCCTGTGCCAACTTGAAACCTCGTCTCCCGTTTAATCTTTAATAAGACTTTGCTGTTCATTTTGCCATACATGCTCATCCTCATGTATAGTCTAAAGGCTCAAAGGAACCAGGCATGGTAGCCCATGCTTGTAATCCCAGAATGTGGCAGGTAAGGGCAGGAAGATTGGGATTCCAAGATCATCCTCGGCTACATGGGGAATTTGAAATTAGCCTGGGCTACAGAAGACCCTGTGCTAAAACCAGATAGATAGATGGATGGATGGATAGATAGATAGATAGATAGATAGATAGATAGATAGATAGATAGATAGACAGACAATCAGACAGACAGAGCGAGCTGGGCTCAGCTTACAGTAGAGTGCTTGCCTAGCATGCTTAAGACTCTAGGTCCAATCCTCAGTAACACAGGAAAACAAAAACCAAAATAACTAAAAAACTGGAAGGCGATTTGTCTAATTTGCCGTATCTCCTGGTCCTGTGGCACGACAGGGCAGCAGGCTCCGCTGTGGTGATCTCTCCTCTACATTGCTTTGTTCGTTTCTGTGTCGTGTCGTAGGCAAGCTCTTTTTGGAGACCATGTTAAGAAACCCCAGAGCCTGGAGGACACGGACCTGAGCCGGCTCTACACAGCAACATCCCTGATGCAGATTGATGACAATGTGATGAGGTGGGTCCCCAAGGACTCCTGTGGGTCAGGTGCAGGCCAGAGGCTGCCGGTCAGCCTTGCTCCACTTGCTTTAGCAGCTTCTTTTCATTTTAATAAGTACATAATGCTTAGAAGGAGATCGTAGGAAATCTTCATCTCTTGGAAATGGGAAAAGAATATGACCAGTTGGGCTAGAGAGATGGCTCAGTGACTAAGAACACTGGCTGTTCTTCCAAAGGTCCTGAGTTCAATTCCCAGGAACCACATAGTGGCTCACAACCATCTATAGTGAGATCTGGCTCCCATGCAGGCAGAATGCTGTATAAACAATAAATAAATCTTAATGAGGAAAAAAAGACTGTGACCAATCTTCCCATGTGGCGCAGGCAGCTTGAACTGGGTGGTGAAGTGTGCTCACTAAGAGCCCCCATCTGTACATTGTATGTCCTGCCTCAACACGGGACGAGTCAGTGCTACCCAGATCTGCCTTTGCAGTGGCGGGAAGTATCTTTTGTACATGGTAAGCATGTTTATTCAGACTTCGAAGACTACCAAAACCAGATGACCAACGGTAGACCAAGAGACCTGTAGGTTTCAGACAACACATGGAACCAGTTTCTGGGGGTGGGGATGGGGTGAAGAAGCAATCCCCACCCGTTTCATTCATTCTTTTCCTGCCTGGAGCCCTGGCACCTATGAGCTGACCTTTGCTTAGAAAGCTTCACTTACAGACTTAGTCTCAGACCTTGTCACTGTGTTTCACATTTTACAATCCCTTGACCCCTTTAGGCATAGCCTAAAGCAAGCTAGGCGGCCATTGGCCAGAGGCCGTGAGGTCTCTACTTCCTTTCTTCAAGAGACTCTCCTAGCCTTTCACACCAGGTAAACTTGGAGGTGTTGGTTACTGTTCCCTCAGAGCAAATAGAAACTATGGAATGCTAGTATATTTAAAAGATGGAAACAATGATGCCAGCTGTCTTATGATACAGTGTATGACTTACTGTGATGTCTAATAAGGAAAAAATTAATTTAATTTTAATTTGCTATAAATTTCCCATCTCTCTCCTTAAGCCCAAAGGTAAACATCCCTCGATTCTTGTAAAGCTCTTGGTCATTAATGTACTGGGTGGGAGCGGTTCTCTAATCAAACCTCTCTAGCAGCATTTCACAGAGTGGTCACCAGCATCAGGCTGGAGGAATGGGATGCCTTGGGGAGACCGCACAGGACAGATCACGCATGCTGGTTGTGATCTCTGCACACAGCCTGCTTCCCCACCAGGGCTCCCTGTTGGTCTAGCCTGAGCCTTCTGAGTTGTTTCCAGACCAAGGTACCTAAGAAAGCTGTAGGTAGAAAAGAGCCACAGCTCTGGGAGGCAGGCCATCTCAGAGACCTGAATCAAAACAGAAGGTCCGCCTTTGGAGACTGGAGGCCCCACCCTGGGTAGGGAAGAAAGGGAGGCTCAGAGGTCTCTGGCCAAGGGTAGGATTTGGGGTCTCTGGGCATCAGCCCCCAGCTGAACCCTCTCACAGCACGGGGCTGAGGTGAGCTGCAGGTTGCTCTGGTGTTCTAAACTGCAGTTTGTCATTGAGCTCGGCTGCTCCTTGAATAGGCAGAACTGGTAGCTTCAAAGCACTCGTGTACATCTTACTCCACAGCACACCTTTCATTCCAGTGGCTCCAGGGTAACCCTCCTGAAAAGAATGTTCTGGCTCATGCATGCCTGTGAACCTGAGTTTCTCATCAATATTTATTTATTTATATTTTGCGTGTGTGTGTGTGCTTGTGTTCCAGAAAGTTCCATGGCTATAACTCCTTGAAGGAATATTATGAAGAAGAAAGCTGCATGAGGTACCTGCACAGGGTGAGTGGTGCCCCTCAGCCAGCTTTGCTCGCAGTACAACACATACCCTTCCTTCCTAAGTTTGAGGGTGGAGGCGGAGCCAGTACCTGCTTAGCCTTGCTCCAGTCTGTCACTTGGACTTCCTGTTGCACCCAGTCGCCCTCTCTGTGACTGCCATACTCTAAACCCCAGAGCTGCACTCGACCCAGGCTTCTCCCAAGCCTATGAAGTTGTTTGAAGCATCTAGTTTACTGTTAGACATCCTTTGACTATATAATATTGCCTGTGGGTTTTCCTGGGAGATCTATCTGGGTTTCTTTCTGCCCTAGACCCTTTCTTGTGGCCATATGTGTCTTATTAATATACCATCTAGGACTGAAGCCCCAAATTTTTTGCCAAGCACGGAATAAAGCAGGTGGAGTTCTACAACACAGTAATAGGAAACATGCCTTCTGAAGTGTGTAAATAGCATAGGAGCACACGCCTGTAATGACCAGTACTCAGCATGCGGAGGGAGGAGGACTGCTGTGAGTTTGAGGCCAACTTGGGTTACATAGCGAGTACTCAGCCAGCCAGAGCTGCATAGCAAGATCACGACTCAAAAGCAGAAAGAAGGCCAGCAAGAGAGCTTAGCAGGTGAGGGCGCTTGCCACCAAGCCTGTTCTAAGTTCAAAACCTGCGGCTCACCTGGTGGAAGAGAATTAGCTCCTCAGTTATCCTCTGACTTCACATGCATGAGTACATAGACACCCATGCAGACACACAAATAAATATAATAAAAATTTTAAGATAGACTATTTTCGATCTGTTCTTTTAGCAGCTATGGTAAACTTTGTGTTCACTGAACCTGTGGCCAACACGATGCCCATATTTGACCTATACCAGCACTGATCCAGTCTCTCTCACTCTGCTGTGCACCCCTGCTCTTACGATGCCAACCCCGCTCCCCTCTTATCAGTGACCACCTGTTGCTTTGGCCACCAAACCTCAGCTCATGAAGATGGTTGTGAGTTATAGTTATGGGTCCTTCTGAGTGAGCATCATTCACCTCAGCCTTTGACATGCCAGAGTTCCAGGAGAGCAGAGCCATTCACTACGTCAGGGTGGCAGCTCAGAATGGTCTGAGCGGCCCCTCAGCACCACGTGCACTCCAAACAAAAGGAGGCTGCTCTTATCTGTTTTGCTAATGGGCATACTGAGCGCAGTCCTGCCAGGCACTCCCTGATAGCCACAGCCTATTTGTTTGTGCAGTTTTGTTGAAACAGGTATTGAACCTAGGGCCTTTCATTTGCCAGGAAAGTGCTCTACCGCTAGGTGCATCTCTAATGCTTGGGTTTTGTTTTTGGTTTTTTTTGTTTTTTGTTTTTTTTTTTTATAAATAGGATATCTATCTATAAATAGGAGAGATACAGAGATCCCAGGCTGGCCTTGAACTCACAATTCTTTTGCCTCCACCTCCCAAGTGCTGGGATTATGAGTGTGTACACCTGGCTCCCATTCTGTTTGCATCTTTGAGATTCTTCTAAAAGATTTCCTTTCCTTCTAGTGGAGTGCACCTCTCTTTTCTTTTTTATAATATTAGCTAAAGGATATATCTATATCTATACACACATACTATATCTATACACACACACATACATACATATATATATATATATATATATATATATATATATATATGTAATATATATATACACACACACACTTTGATGCTGTCGTTTTTCTGAGAGGTGAGGCCCAATCGGAACCACTAAAGATAATCAGAAATACTGTGAATGTCCTTAGGTACTACGTTGTCTCCCCTGAGCACACAGGTCTCCTAGGACACTGGCAGCTTTGCTGTCAGGTGGTGGTCACAGTAGACTTGCCGCTCATCCCATGCCAGTGACAGGGTGGCATCCCTAAGGCTGTAAGGCAACAAGCTGAGCTGTAAGCATTTCCCTTTTCTTCGAGGGCATGTCTGGTAGTAGCAGGCCGTTTAACTCCAACGTCCCTTCCTGCAGATATACGTGCCTCTCATGCTGGTTAACGCGGCGGACGACCCCTTGGTACACGAAAGCCTTCTAAACATTCCAAAGTCTCTCTCGGGTGAGTTTCTTCCCACTGTTTCTCTAGCCACATGGCGGATGACCGCTGAAAATCATGTCACTTTCACTGTTCTGTCGGTGTGTGCAGACAAGTCTCTTGGGAGAGGAGTAGGTCATGACAAGTCCTAGGATGCAAAGGGCCCTGGGTAGAACCTTCTAGATTTTTATCGTGCAGCAGGAGACAGGACCATCCTTGAGGCCCATCACCAAGAGACTATGCTGTAGCAGTGTTGCCTCGGGCCTAGCGTTCCATTAAATGGGAGAGCCCTGGCTTAAAGATATTTAGAACTAAAATTTGTCCTTCTAAGCAAAACAAAACAAAGCCAATTCTGCTACCTCTAATAACGGCCCCTCCATGTGCCTGGAGGATGTAAGCAGCTGAAATGGCAGAGAGCATTGCTCATGGAGACACTGTGCAGACTCAACCCATCCTCTCTCCACGCTACAGGGCAGGAAGAGACAGGGAACGAGGGCAGGCAGGGACAGGGGAAAGCAAGGGAAGGAAGGCCGGGGAGTCCAGTTACTTTTCATTGGTTTCAAATCCGTGGGATGTCATCTCCACAGTCCTCTGCGATTACATTTCCTCTTGTAAATACAGTGGCCTAAAGGAAGACCTACTTCCCTGCCACCCCCAGCTGCAAGAGTAGATAAGATAGCAGAGGAAGGGCTTCGGCCTTTCAGAGCTTCTGTCCTGCTCAGGAGAAAGGCCGCCGTGGGGGAGCCTGTTACATGATAGAAGCTGTCTCCTGTCAACCCCCAGCCACCCACGGACTCTCAGCACACTGCACCACAGCCCACTCCGCCACATGCGGCAGCACTTCCCGCCTTCTGAGCCAAAAACAGCATCCGCAGGACTAATGCTATCCCATTAGCATTAGTACAAAAATGTACAAAATAGCAACCAGAAAGGAAGAAGAGAGGGAGTGAGACAAGAAAAGGGCCGTGTCCACTATTTCCTCCCTGCTGGAAAACATTTCCTGTTAAACTTGGCCGTCTCTTCTACACACTGGTCTCCAGTAGCCACGGAGACCAACCTAAATATGGGCCCAGAGTCCAGCTTCAGGCTGTCGGTTCTCAGGATAGCCATGTAGTGCGTGGCTCTGGGAGCCTGAGCATCTTTTAGCATAGCTTACAGCTTAAGCCTCAACCCCGAAGACTGATGCCAGCTGTGAGAACGCATTGACTACACCCTTGGGTTCTGCCTTTTCTCTGATAACTAGTACTCTTCAGTGCTGTGATTGCCCTCCTCTGAGCCTTCTCACCCCTGGAGTTGCCTAATCAGAATCTGCCTTTCAGCACGATATCCTGAGTGATCCCAGTGCACAGAGTTAGGTATCGTGGTCAATCAGGTAGGGCCCTTTAGCATAGGCAGGACAGTGTCATTTCCCCTCCTTTCAGCCCTAAGATTGTAACTTAGTTAGGCAGATGGGCGGGAGGTCAGGATGCAGCTTGGGTTTACGGAGCTTTCAGTATGCATTCTCAGGACTTCTGAAGCTGGTGCCCATTCTATGAGCTGGGTTTTATTTCTTTATTTTGGCAGTGCTTTATCTTGACTGAACTCTGGGGTGGGGGTGGGAGGGTTCCTATTCTATGGCAGTGTTTTCCTGTTGAGCTATGTTCCTAGCCCTTTTGGTGCCCATGGGAGCCTACTGACTTGCCTGCCCACTTGAGAGAAGACTACACAATACACAGTGGTTGGATACCGCTTAGGTACCTCTGAGGAATGCCCAGGCTCCTCAGCTCACCCACCTGTGCCCTCTGCTCTGGAGCTGAGAGGACGTGTAATTCTGCTGCCTTTCCCTCTACAGAGAAACGGGAGAATGTCATGTTTGTGCTGCCGCTGCACGGGGGCCACCTGGGCTTCTTTGAGGGCTCCGTGCTGTTCCCTGAGCCGCTGACCTGGATGGATAAGCTGGTGGTGGAGTACGCCAATGCCATTTGCCAATGGGAAAGGAGTAAGTCCCAGTGCTCAGACACGGAGCAGATGGAGGCCGAGCTAGAATGAACCCTCCGGACTCTGGCGTGCTCCAGCGGCCTTCCTCTGGAACCCACGTCCCTTTGACGGCTGTTTCAGGTCTCCCATCTCCCTCATTGACCTGGATCTGACCTCATACCATCAGCGGGGGCCACCTATCATGCAACCTGTCTCAAGTAGGCAGCTCTCTCCCTGGGAGCTCCAGGCTATTTTTGTGCTTAGTTACGGGTTTTCTCCATTGCATTGTTAGCCATGGTGGCAAGCTACAAGATTCTCACCCTTCTGTCCAGTTTCAGTATCTGATTGCTTCCATGCCGGTTACATCTAGTTTTCCTATTAAGGAACGTGTCTGAACTACAGTTTTGCTTTGCCAATCAAAAGGCCTTTCCCTGAGAACAGTGAAGGATGTATGTCATTTTGTGATGGTCGTATGTGCCCTCCTAGAGTCCCCACCAAGAAGTCAGCATCTTTAACCAATGCTGAAGAAATGACTCCGCTTGGGAGTCTGAGAGCCTGGGACTTCCTGGGCCTCACTTTTGCTGAAACCGAGGAAATTCCCTGACTCAAAAGCCAAGTTTTCCTTCTCACCATCCCCTAAGACTCCTCTGTCTTGTCTTGCTGCTGCTGAGAGTTGCATGGGGCACTTGTCTAAAAATTCAGCCTCCCAGATCCCTCCCCTCGGAGAGGCTGACTCAGTGGGTTTGGGAAGGGCTCTGGGGATTTTAATTTTTGACAAGTGCCCCAGGGAATTCTCATCATTCAGCAAACTGAGGGAAACACCACACTAGAGCGCCTTTAAATTAGAAACATCTTGGTAGCTCATTTGACATTCATAAGCCACAGTATCGCTTTGCTACCAGAGACCTCCGAAGCAGCAAGGCCTGATGTATGGCTGCCCTTGTGTGATCTCACTGTGGTGTCCCTAAAAGGGAGAAGACATTTGGGCAGAGCCCTGGCTCTGCTTCTCCCCGGATAAGTCCTTTCGGACTTGACTCTCATCCCCTGTTTAATGGGGAACTTGGACCAGGTAGATTGCCGAAATGACCACCAGGTCTACAGTTCAGTGACAAACTCAGTGTACTGAGGTTTGAGAGAGCATCCCTCCAGGTGAGTCTGGGAGTCCATCTCCCAGGCTGAGCATGTAAATGCCGTTAATTGCATTTTTTTCCCCTTTCCCCATTTCATATAAAGAGATTTTTAGAGTCATAATCACTCCCTTGTAATTTTAGTTTTCCATCCCAGGTCCAGCTAACATCTAATTGATACCAAACAATTCAAAGTTGGATCGGAATTTGAAGAAATGTGTTTCCAGCTGAGAGAAGGGAGTGTTCTTTTGAAATCAGTTTGTAATTAAATAGCCTCTGTGTGTTGTCTGTTGGGTAGATCTTTCTGAAATGTCTTCTCAAGTAGACATGTCACTCTAGGATTCAAGTATTCCACTTTTGGAATCCTGTGGTACTTGAATCCCTAAGAACCTGCACTTTGAAAAATCAGCAGTTGCTCTCTGGAACTAAATGGGTGATTTGCCTGGATGCTATTATCTTTTTCTCTATTTCATCTTCGTTGGCTCCAGGACAGACTGATGTATGGTAGTGGGTCTATGTGGATGTTTATGAAGTCACCGGAATACCCGAATGCCAACCCTCGGGGCTGCGGGTGGAATAGATCATGGCCATCGGCTCAAGAGACTGTGACAGGAATGTCTGTACAGTGAAGAACTAACTTTTCGACAATCATAAGATCATCTCAATCATAAGTAGACATCGTCTCAGAACACTGAGATGTCTGCAGTCTCCCAGTTTGCTATAATTTTTCACACTCACCAAATTCTGTCACCGTGCCCTTCCAGTGGTTGGCATTTCTCTTTTATGTTCTCTTATCACAAACTGGCACTTTATCATTCATCCCTCAATTTGGAAGCTAATCCTTCTCTGTCAATTTTCCCTCCACCCAACCACAGCTATAATCGGCTCACATAGTTCCTGCTACTGCCTTCATTCCTTAAGACTTTTAATGACAGCAGTAAGGTAATAGACTGAGTCACCACCCCTGGAAGTGAGGGAGCTCCCTTCATTTGCCTGAGGTCATATATCTTTCCAAGTCCCGACAAAGCAGTAGCTTGGGTACCACCTGCCCCAGAGAAAGCCCTGTTGTCACACGTAGGAGGAAGTGGAAGGCTGTCCTGGGAGCCTGGTGCAGCAGCCCTGGAGGCCCACTGAGGAGAGGTAGAGCTGGGGCACAGCCTTTGTTGCCACACTACTGGAACTCCAGCCCCCAGGACTGGGGGGAGGGGATGTGTGCCAGCTGAAACCTCCTTAGTGTGTGACTCTGACTGGTACTGGCATTCCATTCTGCTTCACATGAAATCAACGGAAGCTCTTTATTCAAGCTTTGGGCTCTCAGACACGGAAATGAGACCGTGACCATGGCAGTTGGACAGGAAAATTCTTGTTTGACCCTGAATGAGAGCACAGAGGCATGAATGTGGAGGTGCCAGCTTGCCTAATGAATGAGGGAACAGCCCTTTATGTAGGTCAGCCGCTTTCCTTCCCCTGGGCTGCCGTGCTTTCTTCCCAAAGTCATCCATTTCTGATAATGATGTGAATTGTCTGTTAGCTATCAAGTACTTACTTGGACCAAAGACTGAATTTTTAGAGAGCATTTGAGTGTTCTGTTTTAAAATCAAGGATAGAAATTGCATAGATCTAGACAATTCTGTGGCACTAATAACATTAAAACCCAAGTAGGGAATGCACCTACATTGCTCCCGAATAATTGGAAGACATGGACTTCGGTTAAATTAGGATTAACTGACTTGAAAAGAAAAAGATCCAGGCCGCATAGTTTAACAGGAGTTTTGCAGACTCGAAACCCGTTCTCTCCTGCGATGACTTTTCATCATCCATCCTAGAGCAGAATGAAAGTGGAAAGTTTGTTGTGCTGTATGCTTTCCATTTGTGTAACACCTTAGACTTACAAGGGACCTTAGGATCTAGTGGGATATTCCTGAAAGGGGGATCTTCCTTCATTCTCACGGTGTTACAGAGCCGGGTCAGGAAGCCTGTCACTCATCCCCACTGGCTCTGACTCATGTTGGACATAGTGGGCAGCTTCACTTCTCTGAGCACATCATCTCTAAGACTGCTTCATCCACCCATGCATCACTTGCTCAGTCATTGCTAAGTAGCTGCAGGTAGAATAAGGTGAATCCTGACCCCTAAGCTCATCTTGAGAGGACTTGGAGAGAAAGAGCACATGAATTCAGCTTTTTCTAGTTAGGACGCTGGACAGTGTCTTTGACCTCTCTTCCTAGTCTTCACTAGTATGACAGTTTACTTGCTATTCTGAGGGTAGTCTTGTGACTGTAGCAGGTGAGAGCCACCGGTAGTGAGGAGAGTACCTCCGGCCTTCAGTGTGACCAGGCAGAGTGTGGACGGTTGCCAGGGCAGAAGTCCTTCCTGTGCAGGCTCGTCCTGAACGCAGTCTGCACTCAGCTGAGCCCTCTGGATAGCTGAGCTTATCTGGCTGGCATCCGGATGAGAGCTCTCTTTGTAAGTGGCTGACTTGACACAGAGTTTGCCAGCTCCGGGGATACAGTGCATGTGTTGTTTGTGTTTGCCCCGGAAGCAGGTGTTAGAGATGTGAGAGGCTTTTCTTTATCCGTGGCCTTGATCCTGACTTAGAGTGACAGTTTTAAAAGCAGAAGGAAAAACCAAAAACAGAAACAAGCAACCACGTGGAGGTGAAGGAACTTGTGGGTTTCCTTCCTTTAGGCACTCAGGGGAGCGCTTGGGAAGCCTCTCACTTCAGTATCTTGTCACAGTGTCATCTGAAATTCTTTTCCTTACCCAGAAAGCCTTAACTTGCCTCTAGAAAATCCCCTGGTATGACAACCTTGTGGCATAAGATTTCAAACCCTTGTGCTATGAAAGTTTGAGGCAAAGCCACAGCCAAACCAGAGAATTTCCTCAGGTGGCCTGGAGGCTCCTATGACATCACCCCCACCTCTCAGCTCCAACATGAGTGATCCAGAACAGCCCCTCCATCTGTCTTCTTGGCCTTACTCTTTTTCAAAAGCCACATTGGATCACTCAGATGCTTCCAGAAGGGGCCTGGTTGGCATTTAGAGGCCAAGCCATTGGAGGCCAGCTTTCTCCCACCTGTTATCTAAGCAAAGGACAGTACCCGTTCTTCATATTCTAGGGTATTTTGTTGTTGTTGTTCCTAAACTATATTTACAGCTAAGGACACAGGAACAGGCCCCTGCCGGCTAAAGAACCAGAATGGCATCCAGAGCCAAGGCTGCTCTGTCACTGCTGCCTCCAGGTGCTACAGCCCAACGTCGTCTTTAGAAACAGGCCACAGAGTATAGCTTGCCAACAGTCCCCAGACACCCAGAACATAGACAGCTGTCCCTTTTGGAAGAATCCCTCTGCCATGTTTTCCAGCTGTTTTGTTGTTGTTTTGTTGTTGTTGTTTCCTGGCATGTATGTAGGTAGAGCTTTCACTGATGCCTAATAAAAAAGCTGAAATCAATTTCTAATTGGTAGATTAAGTCTGACATCCTGACTTTCTTGAAAGTTCTCAGCTTTTAACTAGTCAAATTAACTAGTCCTGTCAATTACTAACAAAATCCATAACCTTCCTTCTTCCCCCTCTGGTCCCCATTAGCCAAGTAATTTTCTATTGCCATAAATTGGAGACAGGCCACTTCTAGCACCCGCAGAAGTACCTTAGTCTCAGTGGGCATTCTGCCGCCCCCCCCCCCCCAGGCCACACAGAGCAGTCAGTATCACCTAAAATCTTTGCTGACCTCTTTGGTCCCCAGGGCCAACCACTGTTCTCCCATGCTGCTCTCAAGAGGGAATCCCACTCCTGGCTACAGGAGCTAGACTCGCTTTGGTCTTCATTTTGGCCTCTTTAATTTCCTAAAGCACAAGTCCACGTAGAATCCTGTCCCCTCTCCACACTGATTCCAGGTGAGCTGGGTCTCTCCCAAAGCCTCAGGCAGACCTTCACTGTACCTGGGCTTGCAATTTTCCCCCACTGCTGCTGCCTTAGTGACCAGGACTGGGGCGGGAGAGGGGGCCAGCTCGCCTCCCTCCTTTTCACAGGTAGACTCCAGCCAATTACAGTCTTATGTTAGCAAATCTGCTTCCAGATTGATTTTTGAGAAACATCACTTTCACATTCCTTATCCTAGTGTGTTTTGTTTTATTCTCTCTGGGTTTTACGGAACTCCAGATGCTGCCCTAGAAATACTGTATTTTGGAGTTCATGCTCCGAAAGCCCCTGTGCCGCTGCGTCTTTTTGACTCCCAACAGCACCAGGTGTTTCGGACTTGCAATTAGCAATGCAACTTTTTCTAAATATGAGGATATTAACCTTTATTAAGAAATTATACTAGACAGTGGTGTCCTTGTTTGTTTTATGTTCTCACATTACTTTTGATTCTGTGTGGTGGTGAACAAAGATCATTACAAAAAAAACTGTAATTTTGTTATCTTTGATTCAATGGAATTTCTTTACTTAATAAAATAAAGACTAAAAAGTGTAGAGTGCTTGTGTGTGCTCCATCCAGTGAGGGTTTCACATGAAAGGGGGTGCATCTGGGGATGAGCAGATGACTCTGGATAAAGTGCTTGCCGCTCAGCTGGAGGAGCTCAGTTCGGATCCCCAGCACCTAAGCCAGGTGTGGTAGCACATGCCTATAAATTCTGTGGCCAGAAGGTAAAGATGGGAGGATCCCTGGGGCTTCCTGTCTGGCTGCTCTACCTCCCTGAAAACTCCAGATTCATTGAGAGATCCTGTCTCAAAAAACAAGAAAGAGTGTGATAGAGGAGGACATCCAGTTTTGACCTCTAGATCTTACACATACAAGGGTATTATCCTGTGTCTGCATCAAAGCATGAGGTTTAGTGGCAATGTGCAGAACACCCATTTCCTCTCACACATGATGTTAAACCAGCCTTGCAAACAAATACCAGATATGACCAGTTCACACAAACCCATCCTCTCCAGGGAAGCCAAAGAAAGCCAGGAATCTGAAATAAGTAAGGTGGCAACATTTTTTAATTACTTCTTAAACTGAGCCATGTAGACATATGCAGGGCAGGATGGAAACGGTGCTTGTCCTGTGTCATAGTGTTCTTTGAAAAGACCAAGTTTGCTTCATCTAAATCAAAGTCAGGTTGGGTTGGTCGCATAGTGGTGGTGGTTCCTTCCTGCCTTCCTTTTTTCTTTGTTTTCTTGAGACAAGAGACTCATATAACCCGCGCCTCTCAGTCTCACTCTATCTCAGATTGACCCTCTAAACTTCTGATCTTCCTGCCTCTGCCTCTCAAGTGCCGGTTTTCAGGTGTGCACTACCACACCCAACTTGGTGGTGATGTTTTCTTCTTTGGGTCTGTCTATTAACCTGAGCAAAGGGTCTTTGAGGGCCATGTGCTGGCTCAGCCAGGAGAGCTGTGTCACCTCCAAGAGCCTTGCGCTTGAGTCTTCTTCCTTCCTACAGTTTTCTGCAAACCTTTTGACAAATAAGGCAGAATCACATTTTAGAATTCCCCCACTTCCGGTCACTTACAAAGCAGGCACAAATTTTTTTTTTTTTTAATTTGTGGACCCTGATTTTATACATATAGATGAAATCATAGCAGACACTCAATTTTGACCTAAGGAAACCAACTTGTAAAGAATAAAGGGCTCAGGATACAGCTGAGGTCTTTCCTAGCAAGTACAATGTCCTGCTCCAACCTCCAGCACTAAAGAATAAAATGTGGGAAAGAAAATCCTGCCAGCCTAGAGAGGTGGCTCAGCAGTTAAGACCACAGTGTGCTCTTTCAAAGGACCCAGGTTCAGTTCCCAGCACCCAGTGGCAACTACCATTTGTAACTCCAGTTCAAGGAGATCTGATGCCTCTTTTGGCCTTTGTGGGCACTGCATGCATGAGGTGCATAGACACACCTTCAGGCAGGACACTGGTACATGTAAAATAACAAAATAAAAGAATGAAAATGGGAAAGTTCAGGTCTGGGATGTTAGGAGCGTGTCGTTTGCCACACCTCTGCTGGGCAACCTCTAGCATTTGTACTCAGGGCCTCTCCTTACTCCAACAGAACGAATTCATTTTTCATTATACTTTTCACAAACAGGCTCCTCAGACATGGTCCTCCTGAAAGGAGGGACAGACGGTGGCAGTTACATATCCTATTGTATAAATAGGATATTTATACAACAGAGAATACACTTGTATTCTCTGTTGCAGAAAGGGGTCCTCGTGTTATTAATAACAACCCAAACTATTAATAGTCTGTTCTTCATCAGCCTTACACACACAGTCCGGATGACCCTGGGGAATTACAAGGTTGATAGCAGAAAGCGCCAATCAGACGAGTTTCAAGAAGCTGCCCAAGTCCCAGGTAGCCAGAGAGCGAAGGAAGGGAACGAGGGATGGTGACAAGAAGGGCCAGACATGAAAAACCTCAGAAATGTGGCTGACGCCTTACCAGAGGGGCAGGACTGAGCTCTGCAAAGACTGCCTTTGTCCCTCCCGCCTGCTCTCCTAAAGCCTGTTGTCTAGAAATGAACGTAAGGCAGGTTGTCACAGATGCTAAATCTGCTGCCTTGTCAGATCTCCCGCTCTCTGACTGAAGCACAACTTAAAGATTCATTTCCTGGGGCTGGAGAGATGTCTCCGTGGTTAAGAGGGCCTATTGCTTTTGCTCGGGACTCAAGGTCAGTTCCAGGCACCCACATCAGCATCGGGTACCTCACAACAGACTGTAACCCCAATTCTACCGGATCCAACACCCTGTTCTGATTTCCACAGGCACCAACATAACATACCTACACACACTTTAAAAAACAAAATACTTTCTCTGGTATTCATGTTATACTATAGGTAACATTTCCCATGATGAGGACCCAGTGTCAACTGGATGGCCCTCCATATTGTAGCCCCCACCTCTCTCTCTCTCTCTCTCTCTCTCTCTCTCTCTCTCTCTCTCTCCACTGTGTGTCTCCAGGGCAATTTACAGGAAGTGCCCATTTTCATGAATACACTGAAGGGCAGTCGGGTGTAGTGGCATGCATCTTTAATTTTGTGACTTCAAGGGCAGCCTACTCTATATAACAAGTTCTAGTCTAGCCAGGGCTACATAGTGAGACCCTGTCTCAAAAAAAAAAAAAAAAAAGCTCCGGGCCACCCAGAACTTCCTTCTGATACTATTGCTGGAAGTACCCAGTATCCCTGTGAACATACATCAGTTTCCTCTTCAAGTTATTTCCTCCTCTATCTTATGACAGGAAATGAAGTTCTCACATCATCATTCCTCCTTCCCTCTCCCGTGTCCAGATTATAACAAGTAAATTAAAAAGGCCGACATGAGAAGATTAGCATGTGTGGAAACGTGCTAGCCACTTCCTGCCCCTTTGGCTCTAAGCAGGAATTAATGTTTGATTTTAATGTTTTTTATGAATAAGATAAAAATAAGAATGCCTGTATCTTGGTGGTGTGGCAATTAACCCAGCACTCAGGAGACTGAAGCAGGAGGATTGCTGTGAGTTCAAACCCAGAATAGGGTACATAGTAAATAAATAAATGGCGACTGAAAGGCTAATGTCGTATTCTTCACTTTCTGTGTTATTTTTAACTGGTTTTTAGCTGGACAGCATAGAATTTGACGTTCAACTTCTTACCAGAGCATCTAAAACTGAGAGACCCAAGGGCAAAAACAAGCCTGGGTATGTAGTTACTAGAACATTCCTGAGCTTAGAGATGCTGAGGAACTGCAGGCAGGTACCATCAAACCCTAGTCCCAATCTTTTTTTTTTTTCTTTATTCAGTCACATGGAGGAACCACAGGCTCTGTGCTAGGCAGACAGGGAGAGACAGGGGCCAGGGCTAGCTAATAAAGATAGTGAACTTCCAAGACGGCTTCTTCCCCACCCTCCAGATCTGAGACAAAAGCCAGGCAGCTAAAAACAAAGAGTTGTGGGCCTTCTCTCCCACCAGCAGGCTCCTGCTGACAGAATGGCTTAAGTTCCAGGCTGTATCAGGACATGTTCACAGCAGTTGTGGGCCAACCAGCCATCCTGTCTTCAAAATGATCAGCCCTAAATCAGGGGAGAAAACTTCAGAGACAAACAAAACAAAACAAAAAACAAACAAACAAAAAAAAACAACCCTTAAAAAGAGATTGGATTTTTTTTTTTACTTTTTTATGTTTTTTGTTTGTTTGTTTTGTTTTGTTTGGCTTTCTGAGCCTCCCTCAACTCCTGCTTTGCAGAGGAGGGTCTTTTTCTGTGTCCCCTGCATGTATGTGTGTGTTTCCGCACCCCTCATAAACATCTTTCTTCAACTGCCTGCTTCTGCTTGCTGCTTGAGATGTCTCCGCTGCTACCTGCCTCACGCCAGATTTCTCCTGACTTTTAATTCTTTAACTGGCAGAGAACGCTAGCTTGATTTAGATGGCTAGACTCTAACAGGCTTACCCATACACACCCTGGCCTGCTGGCAAGGTCACCCAAGTCACTGGGAGTGCTTGGAAACATCTCGATGCCTAGCTGGTACACCAGATTTCAGACATCAGAACTTTTCAGGGTGGGGGTGGGGAGGTAGATCACACAAGGCTTCCAGCACTACACAGCCAGGCACTGTAGTGTGTGACCATAGAACTGGGGACATAGAGGCAGCAGGGTCTCAAGTTTAAGGTCAATCTTCAGCTACCTAACAACCTGTGTTTTTAAAAAAAAAAAAAAAAAAAAATCTGGGGATGGGCTGGGGCCAAACCAGAGTAACTTGAAACCTCCCAACTCCCGAAGAAGATCCTAGCAGGCAGCGGTCAGTTACAAGTGGCTCTGCTGGAAGCTTTGATGGGTTCTTGAATGTGCAATCCCCTGAAAGTCTTGTTTAAATTGCAGGTTTTGGTTCAGTAAGGCTGAGTGGAGCCTCAGATTTTGTAATCCTGGCGGGCTCCCAAACAGGGCAATGCTTACTTCCTGGGAGCGCCCCCTTGAATGGAGATTCTAAAAGTTTCAGAGGAGCCTGCAATCTTCCAAAATAGAAGCAGAGATCGTCCGCTGTGCTGCTCTGGCGTATTTCCATCGCTTCTCCTGGCTGGTTTGGCAAAAGACAAAAGTACATACCTCTCCCAGGATCCATGGTTGTCCAGGCAGCACTGGTCTGTTCCAGAGTTACCTGGTGAACTCTCAGGTAATGGCCAATTCCAGGCAATGGCCAACTCAGTTCAGAGTCTCTCTGAAGGGAGAACTAGCTCTCCACCCACACCTGGACAAGTGGCCTTCAGACTTTGTCCGAATTCTCTGAAGGTTCACACAAGAAGGGCAGAAATACACAGCTGCAATCTCCCAGCCCATATCCTGCTCTGATCAGTTTGTGGCCAAACCCCTGCCTCATGCCAGATGTCTCCAGAAAGACGCTTTTATATGGACCGAATGGTTGTCCTAAAACTCATGGCTCTTTGTTCCCATTCCCGTGGCTTTCAAGAGTATTTTATCGTCCTTCCTGTGCCTCATTAGTGCAGGAGGGTGAGACACTTGCCAAATCACAGATATAGAGGGGCTCAGATCTGGGTCAGAACAAGTCATTTTAACATCCTCGGTCTCCCCACACCTTCTCCTAATGGCAGCACCACCTTCCTAGACAGGCTAGCTGGCAGTCTCACTGCCTATCACCTCCACCTTTCCTGTCCATGTCCTCAGGCTGTGCCAAACCAAGGCCAGCAGAGGGCAGTGTGAACACACAGCAGGCTTACTGGGTCCCTGACAAAGCCACTGGGTTCTCTTACTATGACCACTGAGCTAAGGTACCCTTGCCTTGCGGTCTTCAGATGGATTCCAGTATCCTTTCGGGGCTTGAGGAGGAAGGAGCCAAGGCACTTGGTGCTCCCTGAGCACTTCCTGGCTGCAATGTTCTCCCTATCCTCATCTATGAAGTTGGAGCTACCACAAATCAGGAAGCCTGGGCTGCACTGAGTAGGGCTTCTGACAATTAGGGATCTAGGGAAGAAATGGGAGTCAACTAAAACCATCAACCACTATTCTCTTAGGTTTGTAATATAATGCTAGTAAAACAACTAGAAGTGTATTGCACTCGTGAGTGTGTGTGTGTGTGTGTGTGTGTGTGTGTGTGTGTGTGTGTGTGTTACTGAGTAACCTTACCTGACCTGGAATTTATTACGTAAACCAGGCTGGCCTAGAACTCACAAAGCTCTAACTCCCAGAAGCTCTAGGATTAAAGGTACATGCTATTGCACCTTAGAAGTGTATCTTGAAAACAAAACAAAACAAATAAAAAAACTCACTTCCCAGAGCTAGGGAGATGGCTCAGTGGGTAAAATGGCCCTAAGCCCAAAAGAGACGGTGCTATGCTATGAGGAAACCATCTGCTCAGCAAGCAAAGTCTCTTAACAGGAATTTTCACACACGCTCAAAAGTCGCTCCGCTTGTGGAAGCCAGCTCCACAGGTGGGAAACACTTTGCATTTGTCAAAACATGCAGATGTGGGAAATGTAAGCTCTGCTAGCTAGTTTAATGTCAACTTGACACAAACTAGAGTCCTTTTAGATCAGGAAGCCTTGGTGGAGAAAATGTTCCCACCAGATTGCCTTCAGGCAAGCCTATGGGCCATTTTCTTGATGGATCATGAGAGAGCCCAATTCACTGTGGGTGATGCTACCCCTGGCTGATGGTCCTGAGTGCTATAAGAAAGGAGGCAGGCCAGGCATGGCGGTGCACACCTTAAATCCCAGCACTCAGAAGGCAGAGGCAAATGGATCTCCGTGAGTTTGAGGCCAACCTGGTCTACAAAATGAGTTCCAGGACAGCCAGGACTACACAGAGACCCCCACACCACCCCCAAAAGGAAGGAAGGAAGACAGAAATAAGGAAGTTTTTACTCAGTCAAATACTGTTCCCTCAAAACCAAGTCACCATCTTGGCCCTCCCATCTTGACAAATGCCGGTCCCTTGTTGTCATACACATAGCCTAACATTCCTGGACATAACTGCAATGTTCTCATCTTTTAAATGCCTTTGGCTCCAGAGGGTCTATAGCTAACTCTCTGTGTGTGTTAGGGTTCCAGACCAAAGTTCTATGTAAGGTTTAGTTTGAAAAAGGAGCTTCAGCTTTGAAAATGTGGGTAAAAGGAATTTGAGAAGTCTTCACTGGCCAGCCTTCTACCCTTCTGGCCATGGTAACAGTTATTTGCTATGATTCTTCCGTCAGCTTAGACGTTCTATGGAAAGACCATTTTGGTCCACAGGCTGTTGACTGTGAGTGCCATAAAAGAGGGATCTTCTCTGGTAAAGAACACTGACTGCAGACCTTAGGATAGAAAGATGTAAGAGACAGGCAGTGGTGGTGCACACTTTTAACCCCAGCACTCAAGAGACAGAGACAGGCAGAGCTTCTTCGTGAGTTCAGGGCCAGCCTGGCCTACAGAGTAAGTTCCAGGACAGCCAAGACTATAGGCTGTACAGAGGAACCCTGCCTCAAAAAAAAAAAAAAATAATAGTAATAATAATAATAATAATAATAAAAGAAGAGGAGGAGGAAGAGAATGTGGGAAATCAGTGCAGGTTTGGTGAAATGGGTGGTAGCATAAAGACGTTTGCCATAGAATTTGTCAGTCTGAGTTCAATCCCTAGGACACACATGGTAGAGAACTGGCTCCTACAAGCTATCTTCTAACCTCCACAGGGGCAGCAAACCATCAGACCATCACACACACACACACACACACACACACACACACACACACACACACGCATGCACACAATGTAAAAATAAAACAGTGAATTCATGCAGTGGTACATTCTATAATCCCAACACTTAAGAAGCAGAGACAGGAGGACTGCCACAAGTAAAAGGCCAAGTTGGGCTACAGAGTGGGACCATTTCTTATATTTAAAAAAGGGGGGAGAGCAGAAGAAAACAAGAAAAGAAGTGTATTCATACAGGTGCACGTTCATTTACTCATGCATTTATGCAGCCTCGGTGGAATACAAGAAAGAGAACTCATGAGGGTCAGAGAAATTCTCGAAGGGGTAAAAGCAGATGGGATTGGACTGACCTCAGAATTCAGGAAATAGCTGAAAAAGGCTACAACAGGCGTGCAGCACCCAGAGTACTCCATGTACGTAAGAATGCAGGGAGACCCACAGGTAAGAGCTGAGTCTTAAGTCGATGGTATGCAGAGACTCAATCAGGCCAGTCAGTCCTCACCTCTAGCTACCACCACTGGCCAGACAACAGGAGTGAGTCTGCTACTAGCTGGGAAAGCCAGCGTTGCATCTTGGGAGAAGTAGCAATCAATACCCAGGAGCCCCAGATGAGACAGTACCAGCCTAAGGAAATCACATGCCCAGCCAGCAGAGGCTCCGACAGGAAGTCTCACGGAAATGAACACTCAAAAATCACTGTGCACTTGTGGAAGCCAGCCCCGTAGGAGAGAAAATATTTATATTTGTCAAAACAGGCAGATTCGGGAAATGTACGCTGTGTCAACTTGTTTTATGTCAACTTGACACAAACTAGAGCCCTTGCAGAAGAGAAAACCTCAACTGAAAAATACATCCCCGGGTTGGCCTGCAGGGCCTATTTTCTTGGTGGAAGAATGATGTGGGAGGGCCCAGCACTCTGTGGGAGGTGCCACACTTGGCGGGCAGTCTTAGGTGCTATAATAAAGCAGGCTGAGCAAGTCGTGAGGAACAAGCCAGTAAGCAGCACTCCAGACCCTTCACTCTGGTCCTGCCTTGAGTTTCTGGCCTGACATCCCTGGATAATGGACTACAAACTGTTGAGATAAAATAAACCCTTTCCTCTCCGAGTTGCTTTTGGTCAATGTTTTATCACAGACTAGAAACCCTACGTAAGCTATAAGTTCATCATGGAAGAGGTTGACACAAGACAAAGAAAGGTTTTATTTGTCTAATGAGGACCGAGAGAGCTCTGAGAAGATATCAAATATACAGTTAAGTAAAACCATCCAACAAGGCAAGGACTACCTAGTAGGACCACCCCCAAGGATCATACCTAAGATGGAGAGGAAGGGACATGACCTTCCACCCTGGAAAGAGTCCAGAGCTCCGAGCTACTACTAGGGCACTCATCAGCAGATCATCTCCAAATGCAACTATCCCAACATTGCTGCTCCCTCCCTGGAATCCTGGGTGGGAAACCGCTTATCTGCATACAGCATCTGTGTTCATCAAACCATTTGGGCTCTCTGTCCCCCTCTTTCTTCTTTGTACTGAATTGTGAGTGGGCTTTTATCTCAGCCTTACACATCCTAAGTATCAAAGCAATTACAAAGGAAGTCATGAAGGAGCCTAATTAGTCTTTGAAATCCCACTACTCTCAAAGCCGCCTCCGCCCTATAACTGCACAGGCAGGTGGAAATATAAGTATCCCAAAGGTCTCTTGTTTAAAGGCATTCCCTTGCCTCACTACCCTCTATGTCAGTTTGGGATGAGGTGCCAATAGAGCGTTCCTAAGCCTAGGGAGGCCTGGGGACAGCAGTCACGTCAGGCATTCCTGTTCCCAGTCTTGGGTTCAGGAATGCCGAGGAAGGGCCAGGGTGCTAGGACAGGTCCTACAACAGGGCATCTCCTCACAAGGCTGTGTTCTCAAATTGGACCCTCGGGCCAAAGAGCTGCTCCGCAACAACCTTGCCATCGTACTTGGGCAGTGTGCCCCCAAAGTCAGCAGGCAAGATGTCCTCATCAATCTCCTGGAAGAAGCCTTCGAGGTCATCGCCATGAACAAAGACCTGCAGAGGAGAGACCAGGGCAACTGAGCAGAAGGATGAGAGAAGGGGAGGACATAGCCATGGCTCAATGGCTTTCTCTACAGTCCTCCAGGGGTGGCCATCGGGGGAGAGGGGGTCTGCTCAGCTTGGGACCAGTGCACAGCACCTGAGGAAGGCTCGGGAGGCAGCCACACACTCACCCTCTGTAGCAACTTGTTCTTCAGGAAGGGCTTGACCACATTATAGGTGGTGGTGAAATACCATGGCTGGTGGATGAAGTGGATAGCTTTGAACCTGGCTGGGAATGAATCCTGCAGTGACAGAGAGAGATCCCCCCCCACCCCATTGCCCATGGTCTCAGGGGCTCTTACTTACCAACACACACACACACACACACACACACTCTCTCTCTCTCTCAATGGCACCACATGTTGTCCTGAAGGACAGCCCATCCCAGGGGCCAGCCACCAGAGAACCCGGGTTTCACCTTCGCTCCAAGGTGCAGGGAGGAAATCCTGTGAGTTACAAAGCCTAACCTGTCCCGTGATGCAAAACAAAAACAGAACTGAAATCCTAGAACTAAAGTTTTTAAAAAGGGATGAGACTGTACCATTCCTTGGTTATTTGGTGATTGTGAGTTTGATATATGTGTACATATTTATGTGTCCGTGTGCCCATGTGTCTGTGTCTGTGTGTGTGGTATGTGTGTGTGTATTATTTGTTTATTGAGACAGGGCCTCATGTGTATACAAAGCTGGCCTTATAATGTAGATGAGTTATGACCTTGAACTTCCAATCCTCCTGCCGCTTCCTTGCGAGTGCTAGAATTACAGGCCATGATGGCCAATGCTGGGGATCAACCTCAGAGCTTTGTGTAAGCTAGGGAAGCACTCTGCCAACTGATCAGTATCCTTGGCTTGGGAGACTGGGTTGTTTTCAAACCACTTGTCCGCTGGGTAGAGTGCAAACCGTTATAGACTATGAGGACACCATGGTCATACCTCCTTGTCCCTTAGGAATTGCCTCATCCACCATCTCCCACCTCTGCTTTCCAAACACACACAGGGCAAATATAAGGTAGCTCAAAGAAGAGACAGGGGAATATCAGTATATGAGGGAATCAGAAAGGGAGATCCCTTCCTCAGGATAAACTGACAAGCAAAAGGAGGCAGCAGGATATACGTGGTCAGACAGCCTGAGGTTCTGTAGTTAAATCCAGCCTCTGCCACTTCATCTGTGTGCCGCCTTGTAAAGTCAGTCTCTGATCCTCAGTTTCCAGGTTTGTAAGATGAAGCAGAATATATGGGAGGGAACCCTCCCAAGGAGTCAATGAAACCAGGCTCCACAGTCATGCAAGCGTTTGTGGCTGAGATGACAGCGGTCACTGCTCTGTATGACACTATATTGTCAACCCCTCCCTCGGGCCCCTTCTTGCATCATGAAACTGGAAAACCAGGGCAAGCCTCCCCACCTGTGAGAGGTTCCTATTGGGCACTTTCCAAGGTCTCACCTGGAGCATGTCCACCATCTTCTTGAGATCCGACGGGCGGAGCCCGGCTGCCTGCTGCATGGTAAAGCCCTTAAAATTCTCAACAATGCAGAAGCCATTGATTTGGGTTTCCTCGTTCTCCAGCAGTTTCTCCAAAATGAAACAATATGCCTGCAAGATCTAGAAGCATAGGGGATAGGTGTGTGGCTCAATCACCAGGCCCTAGAGTTGATTCCCAGCAGCAGAAAGCCTGAAGCACAGCAGGGGTTTAAGATCCAACCCACAGGCGTGATTAAATCTCGGGGTCCCGAGTGGAGAGCCAACTGACACATTCCCCACTACAGGGATTTGCCAAATGTGTCCATCTAGGGTCTCCCCTCAGTGAATACTCGCCAATAAAATACCTTCACTGTCCCATTCATGACTAGAAACCACGGAGTTCATCCCGCTAGAAACAACCTGAGCATCCAGTAAGAGAAGTGAAATGAAGGCAGCTGTAAGCCGTAAGCTGAGCATCCAGTAAGAGCAGTGAAAACGGTGGAAAACAATAACAACGTGGGGAGCTCCTCATGACATTTCATTGCACAGAAGGATCCCTGGCGGGTTTGGTTTTTGTTTGTCGGTGCAAGAAATCAACAGAAGAGTCTTGGGCATGCTAAGCAAGCACTCTACCGTCCTCCAGCCCTTGGTGTTTTTAGACAGTCTCACTTTATAGCTCAAGCTGGCTTTGAAAACTGTTTAGCCCAGGCTAGCCTTGAACAAGAGCTCCTCCTACCACAAACCAATTCCTGAGTGCTGGGATTGCAGATCTGACCACTATTACCCTGCCTACTGTGGTCCGCCTTTCCCTGATCTCCCTTTCCTTCCTCCTTTCCTCCCTCCCTCCCTTCCTCCCTCCCTTCCCTCTTTCCTTCCTTCCTTTCGTTCCTTCTTCCCTTTTTCAATACTGGGGATTGAACCAGGGGCAGCGCAAACTACCAAACAGTATCGCCACAAGCCCTCTTTTTACTACAAATTTTTAGACAGTGTCTTACAAAGTTACTTAGTCTGGCCTCAAACTCACTCTGCAGACATGGCAGGCCTTAAACTTGTATCCAGTCCTCGTGCTTCAGCCTCCCTAGAAGATGGGTTTAAAGGCCTGTGCTACCAAGAATGACTCACGAACCATCCCACTGTTATGAGAGGTGTGTGTGTGTGTGTGTGTGTGTGTGTGTGTGTGTGTGTAAAATAAATTGGAAGAATACTGTGCTTAAAAAAAAATCTAGGTAGCAGAATGATAGATGATTTTACATTTGTAATTTTTTGTGTGTATTCTAAAATGAATAGATACTATTTATGTAATAAGAAAATCCTTTTCTTTAAAACAAAAATACCTTCAGCTGGAGCTAGATAGCTCTGTGATTAAGAGAGCTTGCTGTTCTTACAGAGGACCCGAGTTTGGTTCTCAGCGCCCACATCAGGTGGCTGACTCATAACTGCTTATAACTCCAGCTCCAGGGGATCTGATGCCTCTGGCCACCCCAGGAATTAGCACTCATGAACACACACACAATTAAAATATAATATAGATTTTGTGGGTCATGGTGGTATATGCCTTTAATTTCAGCACTTGGAAGGCAGCAGCAAGCAGATGTCTGTGAGTTCGAGGTCAACCTGATCTACATAGTGAGTTCCAGGACAGCCAAGGCTAAGTACAGAGACTTCAAGAGAAAAAAAAAAAGTGTGTGTAAATCTTTTAAAAAGATTTTATTTATTTATTTTTAAATTTTTTTTTTCGAGACAGGGTTTCTCTGTGTAGCTGGGATTAAAGGTGTGCACCTCCACTGCCTGGCTTATTTTTTAAAAGATTTATTTACTTAATATATAGAAGTTTTATCTGCATGTACACTTGCTTTGCACACCAGAAGAAGGTATGGGACCCCATGGAGTATAGCTACAGACAGTTGTGAGCTGCCACATGAGCGCTGGGAATCGAACTCAGGACCTCTGGAAGAACAGCCAGTGCTCTTAACTGCTGACCCATATCTCCAGCCCTTATTTTTGTTTTCATAATCAATATTTATGAGGAAAATGTTGGCTCCCTGGAGCTGGAGTAACAGGAGACTGAGCTTCCTGACACGGGTGCTGGAACAGGACTCAGGTCCTCTGCAAGAACAGCAAAGTGCTTTTAACTGCTGAACCATCTCTCTGACCCTCCTCCCCAAAATAATCTGTCTAAAAAAAGAAAAAAAAAAGCTTTAAAGTTTTAGGGGTGCTGGAGAGAGAGCCCTGAGGTTAAGAGCACTGGTTGTTCTTCTAAAGGTCCTGAGTTCAATTCCCAGCAACCACATGGTGGCTCACAGCCATCTACAATGAGATCTGGTGCCCTCTTCTGGCCTGCAGGCATACATGCAGGCAGAACACTGTATACATAGTAAATAAATAAATCTTAAAAAAAAAAAAAAAGAGCTTTGATCCAAAAGCTAGTTATCTTGTTTACCGAGAAGACCTAGTAAGAAGATCAGGCATAAGGTAGGGATGATTGCTAGATCCATCACCATTTAACTAGTGCAGAGGACCGGCCAGCCAGTACAATCTAACTTCTTAAGGTCTAGAGTCTAAAAAGCAGAAAAGTCACGTGAAGAAAACAATCTCCTTTATTTACAGCTAATAGTAAACTTAGGGACACAGGCGAAGGCCAGAGTGTAGCTCACTTGGTAGAGCACTTGTCCAGCATTCGCGTAATCCCAGGTTTGATACCCAGCACTGCCTAGAGCCGGGCATGGTGCCACACGCCTGTAACCCCAGCATAGCAGGAGGACCTAAAATTCAAAGGCCATCCTTAACTACAGGAGTAAATTCAAGACCAGCCTGGGGTACCTGAGACGCTGTTTCAAAACAAAACAAATAAGAAAGGAGGGGGGTGGACTGAATGAATGAAAGAAAGAAAAAAGAATAAGGGAAAATCCTTAATCCTTCCCTCGTCAGCCTCTTCAGTGCTTAAACATACGGGCATGCAGGAAACGCACGGTTGATTAGGACAGAACCTGACCTTTCCAGAATCTCCCAACCCATCGTCCTCTGATCCCCATTCTCTCTACTGCTCTCAGCTTTCAGTTTTTGGCAAGGTTTCCCTAAGCTCATATCCCACAGCTGATTGCCTACACTTGGCACTGCTGGGGACAGGTAGGCCAGTGGGCTCTGCTTGCAAAGCTGCTGGGCTTTCCAGCTGCCCTGGAGCATTCTAGGAATTCTGCCCCCGCTGGGAAGATGCCTGATGGCAGGTGACTGCCTGCCTTCCTCCCTCTGAAGACCTGGCCTCCTGGGGATTCCCACAAGAAAGACAAGGGTTAGGAGAGAGAGCCCAGCTGACCTCATCAAAGGTGACTTCTTCACAGTGCCAGTTCTCAATGTTGAATACCATAACCACTCGGCCATACTTGTCGCGACTGGAAAGGACGCCGGGGTAACCTGCCTCAATGGTGCAGCGGATGGCCTCCATGGATAGGCTATCGAAGAGCTCGGGGTACTGGAGCCGGAAGTTCACATAGCCTGCACGGGGAAGAGTCAAGGAGCCCCCTCGGGAGCCATTCCAGCCTTGCTCACCCACCTTCTCCGTTCACACTGAGAACCTTGTGAGCTGTGCAGACATGGGGTACAGTCCCGAACAGGAAGGTAATCATACGTTATATTCCTCCCCTTGGGGTTGACACAGGCTGTCAAATGGATGCGGGGTCAGCTGAGTGGGCTGGTGGGCAGCTCTGAGGGAAAGCCTGGGAAGATAAACTGAAGGCTCCAGCTAGACTTAGGCCCTTCCTAATTCTAGCAATGCCTATACTGCGCACAAATGCCATTCTTACCTATCCCGAACAGGTCCTTGCCTTCACATGGCCATCTGTATCCCCAACCTGGGGCCCGGAGGAGGGGTTTAGGGAGCAATTGCCAAGGAACTGCCAATAATTTCTCTGCTGTTTTAGAACACTCCAGGCTTATCTCAAAACACGCTTGCCTTGTGGTTGTCTCTCCCCAGTTACTCCAATGTCTAATGTCCTTGGGCTTTTGTTCCTTTGCAGTGGAAGCCTTTCTAGGCGCTTCACATACAGCTTCAATCTTCTGTCCTTTATACCCAGCTGCTCATTTTCCTCCTTAACCCTTGTCACTCAAACTCTACCGATGTATTCCATTGACTCCCACAAACAGACTGTAAGGTCTACGACATCAGGGGATGCTTGAACCCCTTGACCTAAAGCAGTGGGTGGGTCCAGGGTGGCAGTGGATTAACATTTGTGGAAAGAGGGGGAAAGTAAAAAGGGGAAGCCTTTGGGCTGCAGACCACCTGCTTCAACCCCTCCCCCTGTAGACACCAAAGACTTGATTTCTTCAGGAATGTTTTTCCCCACCCAGCATGGCCATGGCAGTTCTGTCTCAGTTCCCAAGGCAAGTACCATTCTTGGTTCCACTGGGGTTGAGATTTAGTGTCAGGGGAGAGCATGGGCCAGGCACAGCTTCTCACCTGTAACATCCCAGTGCTCAAAGTGCTTATGAAGAGGGGCTGCAAAGGAAACCTTCCTTTGTCAGCTAAATGTAGTACCAGATTCTACTTGTTGAGTCCCAAGACTGACAGAGAAGAGATTCTTCTAAGAATCTGGTCTTGACCAACTAATTCTGTCCATCTATCCATCCATCCACCCATCCACCCAGCAACTAACAGAGTCCAAGTAATCTTGAGGGCTGCTTAATTCACACACACACTTGAAGGATATGGAGACAGTGACTACCTCGTGGCATAAGGGAGTTTTTCAGTGTGGAAAGGTGTTCAGTGAACACCCTCATCAACACCCTCTCCACCCTCCCTAGGCCAGAGTCATCCCTCTCCTGCAGGCCTTACCTTTAAGCAGCTCATAAGCACGGCCCACGTCAAACTTGCGGGCACGGATGAAGCGCAAGAGGAAGGCACTGTCCCAGGCCTGTACCCTCTCAGCCACCGCCAGGGCCAGCTCCTCCCCAGAAGCGGCCTGTGCCTGTACCAGCTCCTGAAGCTCCCTCACCACCTCGTCCCGGGTCTCCTCCTTTTCATTCAGCTCATCCTTGGCCTGGAACAGGGTAGGGTGGGGCAGACAGTCACCAGTAGGCGCTGGTGAGGAACAGAGCATGCGTGAAAAGGCTCAACTCTAAGATGGCTTGCTGGGAGGGGCCTGACTCCTTCGAAGTTCTGCCCTCCGAGGTCAGGAGTGGCGTGTTCTCTCATACACGTTTGCAATTGGAGAGAGTCAAACTGCTCCGCTTGGGTCAGAGCCCATGTATACTATGTTCTTGTCAAACACCCTGCTACGTCCTCTAAATACAGTGTGTGTGTCACACTTGAATTTATTCATTGTATGTGTGAGTGTTTTGCCTGCACATATGTCTGTGCCCCTGTGTGCTTGGTGCCTGTGAAAGTCAGGAGAGGGCACCAGGTCCCCTGGAGCTGGAGTTAGGAAGAGTTGTGAATCACCATGTGGGAGCTAGGGATCCAACCGGGGTCCCCTGCAGGAGCAACAAGTGCTCTTTTAATAACTTACTTTTTTATTTTATGTGCATTGCTGTTTTGCCTGCATGTATGTCTGTTTGAGGGTGTCAGATCTTGAAGTTACAGACAGTTGTGAGATACCACGTGGGTGCTGGGAACTGAACCCAGCTCCTCTGGAAGAGCAGTAAGTGCTCTTAACCACTGAGCCATCTCTCCAGCCCTACCTTGTGTTTTTAAGCTTTGCCACAACTCCTTGTGGGATTTGGTTGGTTTGGTTTGTTTGTTTTAGTTTGTGTTCTTAGTTAGCCTTTGTGTTTATTTATTTTGTGTGTGTGTGTTTAGGGGAGTGTGTGCTGTGATGTTCATGTGGAATTATTTTTGCTATATGGGCCCTTGGGATCAAGCTCATTTGCTCAGGCTTGATGCAAGTGCCTTTTAGCCAATGAGCCACCTCATCAAGCCCTTGTTTTTGTTTGTTTGGTTTTTGAGTTGGGATTTCTAGCCCAGGCTGACCCCAAATTTGATATAATAGCCAAGGTTTACCTGGGACTTCTGATGCTGCTTGCACCTCCATGTGCTTGGATTATAGACAGGCATGTGCTATCATGCCCAGTGTCATGTGATGGTAGGAGTAGAATACAGAATCCCATGCACTTTAGACAACTCCGCCAACTGAGCCACACCGCCAAACCTATTTTTGTTTCTTTTGATACAAGATCTCTATATGCAACCCAGGCTGACCTTAAAATTATAATTCTCCACCTTATGCCTCCCAAGCACTGGGATTAAAGGCGTGAGCCATTATACTCTGCTAGTGTCCTGGTCTCCATCTCCCAGGAGAGCAGGCTAGGGAGGCGAGAGGTGATGCGTTCTTGCCCTAGTTCCCCCAAGAAGGAGGCACTTCTGGGGCTCCTAATCAGGGCCTCCTCAACTTGACCCAACGGAAGGCAGCCTGCCTCAGCCCCAGAACTTCACAGCCCTTGTTTTGGCTGAGCAAGAAGAGCTGTGAGAATGGCTGGGGCAGCTCTTCCTTTGGGTAGCAGGAAGGGCAAGGGAGAAGAATTCAGATGTGTCCAACTTGAGAGCACCTGTTGATGGAGATACCAGCCGATGCAGAAATGAGAGACTGAAGCTGAACTCAGCTGTTTCTCACCTTCATTCAGCCTCCCTTAAGACAGCTGCCTACTCCAGCAGATTACACTCTGATCACGTCTGAGCTAGTCTAGCCGTCATAGTTCATAGACACAGATGGAGGCCAGACCCAGAGAGGGAAAGAGGTTTGCTCGAGGTCACACCACTAGTTGAACATGTCCTAGAACTTGAGCCTCCTGCTTTTCCATTGGGGACAATGTACCCTTGTTAACTAGGGCCACTTCCGAAGCAGTGTTCTTTATATTTGAGTCTAGGATGGCCCCTGGCGCATATGCTCCAGGCTGGAGTGTTAGACTAAAAGGTAGTCTGAATAGTGACTAACCCAGCTGTTGTAATGGCTCTGAGCTTCTCTGGATCTCTTATATCTCTAGAACAGGCTAGGCTCTCAGTTCCAGGATGACCTAGAGCGTGGGGCCTTTTTTAAAGGAGAGAGGATTCGGAAGTGTCCGTCCCACCCCTACCATGTTGCCCCTCAGGTTGTCCCAGCCATCACTCCCATTCCCTCCCACTCTGGCACCTCACCTTCTGCAAAGTGTGTCGGGGCAGCTGGCTGCAGGGGCCAAAGACAGGACCATGGTCCTTGGTTGTGAGCTGCTCCAGCTGTGCCCGGAGCTCCTGCTCCTCTTCGGGGACCATCCGGAATGTGCCCACCTGGGCAGACAGGAGTCAAGAAGAAGGCAGGACAGTTCTGCCCACCCCTGCCCCCAGCAGCCAGAACCACCGGCAAATGGGCCTGCTGAGACCTTGCGTAGTGCCTTTGGCCAAGGTCTGTGCTAAACCTCCTTTTTCTGGTGGATCAGGGCCCCAAAGAGATTGTCAAGGACTAGGGAGGAAGGGAACAAGGGAAGAGGGACCAGGATACTCACCCCCTCTGACATATTGTCTCTTGAAGACACTGACAGGAGAGAAAGAACCTGTTTGCTCTGCCCTGGCCTCTCCAGGTGGCCTGTCCCCAGCAGCCAAGGAAGTCAGGATCACAGTGACACTAGAGAAACCGTTTTGTGTTTGTCTCAGAACAGTGCAGTTTGAGTATTTAAGTCCCTCCCAACAGCTAGGCGATTGGTCAGAAGTACAGATTCATGGGTCCTGGTCCCTGTGATTCTAACTAGAGGGCTAAAATTAGAGTGTGGCCCCACCTGGCTATGGAGGACGTGGTTCCTGGGCTACACTTTGGAAACCTTGCATTTGGAAGGGGCACGCTGCAAATATCCTGCCCTTCAGCTGTGACTAGCCAGGACCAAAACTGAATTGGTCCCCTTCTCAGCTACAGGGTCAGATCACTCCCATGTGATGGGAGCCTTCCTCTCCGCAGCCTTCCTTCCCTAGTGCAAATGGGCACCCCAGAAATCTTGACCTAGTAGACGGCTCTGCCCTCCTCCACTCCCTCCAGTGCATTCATGCTTAGGAGCCATGGTGAGCAGTTATTCAATCAGTCCTGGGTGTGTGTTCAGAGCTATGTGACACACTGAGGGTTTTCAATTTATTACCTCAGAGACAGGCATGGCAGGGCCAGGAAAAAGTAAATGATTTGTCCAAGGTAACATAGCCCAAGGAAGCCAGGTCTGAGGATATATACCTAAGGTATGGCACCAAGAAGCAGCTTGGGACAACAGAATGTGGGGACCTGGGTTCTAATCCTGTCTCTCACGATTTGCAAATTGTGTGTTTTCACCTGAGTCTCCACTGTCCCTTGTTGGGATGAAAGGGCTATAAGATGTAATTCAATAATGTACACACAAGTAGCATTGGGCCACCAAGATTTCAGTCATGGCCCGCATGTCCCCAGATTTTCTCCTCCTGGGCCTAAATGTCCCCAGGGACTGGAAGAAACTTTAATCATTCTGTTTCTGCCTGTGACCAGGTTCTATTGGTCAACTCAGTCACCTACTCATAGTTGGTAAGCAGCTGGGGCTTGAACCTGTGTGTGCCCGACCCTGCGTCTCTTTAATGCCTAAAGCCAAGGCATCTCTGTACAAACTCCCTGGGGGAGCTGGTGACAGAAACCTTGTAGGTTGGAGAGATCTGGATTTGAATCTGGCTTTTATCACCTGGGTGACCACAGGCAAGTTATTTATTTAATCCTTCTAAGACTGAGAGCAAACTGAGGACAATAGTGATTGTCTTGAAGACCACGGGTTTCTGTGACCTACCCGAAAGTAGAATCTTTCTCTACAGTGGAGTCTGCTCTCCCTTTCTTAACATCACACTGAGATTAACCTAATCTGTACACTGAAACTTGAGGATCCCAGAGAATATCTGAAGGCCACCCGTCTTTTGAAGCTGTCCCTTCCCTACCATGGCCCCCATAAAAAGAAGGGAACTCTGGGGGCTGGAATCCACCCACAAGAACCAAGTACAAGCCACTTGTGGGTTGCAGACAGACATTCAAATATGTTGGCTCAAAAGACCAAAAGCCAAGTACAGTGGCACACAACTATATTTTCAGCACTTGATAGAGGCAAGAGGATCAGAAGTTAAGGTTAATCCTTGGCTATATAGTGAGTTCAAAGCCGTCTGTGCTACATGAGACTCTACCTAAAAAAAAAAAAAAAAAAAAAAAAAAAAAAAAAAAGGTGGCATGGTGGTGCACATCTTTAATTCAAGCACCCAGGGGATCCCTGAGTTAGAGGCCAGCCTGATCTACATAGTGAGTTCCAGGACAGAGAGGGCTACTCAGGGAAACCCTGTCTCCAGCAAACAAAGCAAAGCAAAACTATGAAGAACTGGAGAGGAGTTAGTGAATACCTCAAGCCCAAGTCCTGGATCTTAGAAACACAAGGTCAAAGTCAGCACGGAGAAGCATTTATCTCTTATCTTTAAAAAAGTATTTATCCACGAGCTGTGGGCATGTACGTAATGAAAACATGCTACACCTAGCTTCACACTGATGTTCTCTGTCTTTTAGAGTTAGCAAATAAAACACAATTGATTGCCAATATTAGAACATAAAAGGTGTCTGATCGGCAGTTCTAATTGAATTAGGTTCTCAGCGTTTGTATGTGCTGCGCCTACCTGTAGATTGGTCTGGCTCACCCTGCAGAATGGCAGTCTGAGTCATGGTGAACCCCACTCAGCCCTGACCACTCACTCCCCCCCGGACACACACTCTGTCTTACTCTCCCTGGCCCACCCAGGCCTTGTTACTCACTTACCTGACAGTAGTTTCTTGGGGCTACCCGGTGCCTGCTGGAATTGTTCTGGCGCTCTGGAAGCTGCCTCCTTTGGAGGTGTAGTCAGGTCAGCAAGCTCGGATTAGTGTGTCACAAGGAACTTCTCAGGCCCACCGTTTCCGTTAAATCAGGCTCACAAGCGAAGCACCCTGAGGGAGAGGGGAGAGGCCCAGCCTGCAGGCGACTGTCAAAGCCCTGCTTTGTGAGCTCCTGCTTGGGACTCTGTTCAACCATGTGGAAGTCACTTCACTGGGATCCGGGCCAGCCCCGTCTCATTTCCCTGCCCTCTCTCTTCTCCAACTGAGAAGCAGGGATGCCTGGGAGGGTGCTCCCTCCCACAAAGGGTAGGACATACAGAGAAGTAAAGAGAAATTGTAAATGTGGTCATCAATGCCATCCAGGCCTATGGTCCACGGTCCTGTGCAGAGGGAATGGAGCTGGCAAAGCTGAGGCAGGAAAGGGCCTGCTAGGTATCCCAGGCTGGCCCCAGATCACTGCCCACTTTTTTTGTAGGAACTCTGTTGCTAATCCACACCCTCAGTCCCTGCCTCTTTTGGTTTTGAGAAGTCGAGGTAGGTTTTGAACTCCTGATCCTCCATCTTCTCCCTCTCAAAGGCATGGAAAAGAGGTGTGTGCTGCCACAGCAGGCCTCCCTTGCCCACTTTTGTTTGTTTGTTTTGTTTTTAAGACAGGGTTCCTCTGTGTAGCCTTGGCTGTCCTGGACTTGCTTTGCAGACCAGGCTGGCCTCGAACTCCCAGAGATCCACCTGTCTCTGCCTCCCGGAGTGCTGGGATTACTGACGTGCACCACCATGCCCAGTTCCTTGCCCACTTTTCAATCCTTGCTCCAGCATCTTTCTTTCTGTGTGGTTGCTTTACCACACAGCCATGGCTCAGTCTCCTCTGAGAAGTGGGATGACTAGAGGACCAAACTAGGACTGTGGGGAAAGATCCGAGACGGCCACACAGCACCCACTTCAGGTGCTTAGCTCCCTGGCCCCTGGGGAGTGTTCTGGGGAGCTGGCAGTGGTGCCCAATGCAGAACCAGTGGGCACCTAGGGGAAGGGAACAACATATCCAACCTTCAATGCAGCCAGAAACCCCTGAGCAGCCCTTAGGAGGGCGCACCCAGCCTCTGCCTTGGTGTGAGGGATGAAAGCCCTTTAGATCATTCCCTGTAGGAGATTCCAAAGTCAGGGGGCTCTCTACTTCCACCGCAAGACATGTCTGTTTAATTAAAGTTAGCTTCAGTCGGGGCCCAAGCAGCCCACCTTTGGTCCTGAGCATCTCCTCGAGGTGCTCAGGGCAGGGTTGAGCTCATGTGCACAGGCCATTTTTCTGGAATTCAGCCATGGAAATGTTATGGTCTCACCATGGTTTGGGGCTTACACAGGTGAGACCACGTTGCAGACATGAAAAGAAGACAGTTACCCAGAAGCTAAGGAGGTGGCACCAAAAGATAACACCTTGGTCTCAGTCCTCCAGCTTTCGGGATTCTGAGAAAATGAGTTTCTGTTGGCTAAGTCACCTAGGCTGTGATGTTTTGTTATGCCCAAGGAACTTCACTGGCTGTGAGGCTCATGGGAGAGGATAAGTATAAGAGGCCCAGCTGCCTTAAGCTGCTAAGAGGCTCTGTGAGGACCAATCACAGGGCTTCTCCACAAAGCTTCCTGTGTTCCAAGAGTACTGTAAAGTCCGTGACATGGTCTAGGGGGAGAGGGATGCCCAGAGCAGTGGTTCTCAACCTAGGGGTCATGCCCCCTTTGGGGACCGCTTATCAGATATCATACATATCAGATTTACATTATGATTCACAATAGTAGCCAAATTACAGCTGTGAAAGAGGTTTTATGGTTGGAGTCACTACAACTATATTAAAGGGTCGCAGCATTAGAAGGTCGAGGACTGCTGGCCTAGAGCATCTCAGGACACTAGCAGGCCTGAGGCCCTTCTGGGGAAGAAGAGCTCCCGCTCCCATGGCACAGCTTCGCCCTCACGGACCTTCTCCTGCCCTCCCCTCCCATCCCTAGAGTGGTGTTTAGCTCCTTTGGTTAGAACAATGGTGCCACTGTCCTCACTGGCCCACAAACCTATGCTGCTTCTCCAGCAGACATCTTTGGGCTGCCTGGCCTGTCTGGCCCTAGCTGACTGAAGAGAGGGAGGGAGGGGCTTGCATTTGCAGGGTCATCGTATTAGTGTAAAAATATTTCAACGTTGTTTTTGTCATGAGCAGAAACAGATGGCCATCTTTGTGTCACAATTTAGTGAATGAAAATACATGCACAGCTTTCTTGGATGCAATTTTTGCCAGTAAATTTAATTTTGCTTGAAAGGCTGATCATAGACTCTCATTAGATTTTCACTCCAATCTTACTTTCCGGTATTAACTCTTAGATCATACACTCTTAGATCATACATGTGTGTGCACACAAGTGTGTGTGTGTGTGTGTGTGTGTGTGTGTGTGTGTGTGTGTGTGTATCAGAATGAGCACGAAAGGGTTAAAGAGTTAAAGAGGCTTAGGAACCCAAGAGCAGAGCTGATCTGGTACAGAAGTATCAGACCCAAGTTTAGGAAGCCATTTAAGGGTCAGTTTGAAGTGGGATCCCATGGGCGGGAGAGACTGTGAGCTGCAACTGGGGGGCAGATTCAGGAGACGGTCACTGAGGCAGGATTACTGGGTGAGGATTGTAGCGAGTGGTTGAGGGATTAGTCGTCATGTTTGTCACATGTTGATCTTGGCGTGCTCTTCTTTTATAGCCCTCGGGGAGCGGGGTTATACCTAGGGTGGTGATATGCGCGCGTGGCTGGCGTTCTGGTAGGCTCTGATATATTTTCAGACATCATTCTCTATTGGCACTAAGAAATGAGCAGTTTGTGCCTCTGGTGCACCAACAGATAGTGGTGCTCTTTCAACCCACATTTATTGAGCGGCTACTATGTTTGACATTGGGAATCTAGAGAAAGAAACATCAAACCCTGCAGTTTATCGGAATTATACATAAGATAATTATACAACAATAAGGTACTGGCTTTAGACCCCTCCACCACCAAACAAATAGCACCTGATGTGACAAGATAAGCTCCAAAATGAGTAATGTGATAGCATCCTAGAGTGCTCCTAAACACACAACTACAAAAACCACAAAAAAAAAAAAAATGAGTGTATGAGTGATCTTTGGACTATTAAGTTTGAAATATATTATAAACAATATTTTCTTCTAAAAAATTACCAGTGGTGGAGATGATGGCGGTAATGGTGCATGCCTTTCATTCCAGCACTCGGAGGCAGAGGCAGGCAGATCTCTACACATTTGAAGCCAGCCTGGTCTGCAGAGCGAGGTCTAGAACAGCCAGGGCTACACAAAGAAGTCCTGTCTCGAGGGGTGGGGGAAGGGAGAGAGAGAAAGGAAGAAAGGAAGAAAGGAAAGAAGGAAGGAAGGAAGGAAGGAAGGAAGGAAGGAAGGAAGAAAGGAAGGAAGGAAGGAAGGAAGGAAGGAAGGAAGGAAGGAAGGAAGGAAGGAA